GAGATATTGGCAAACGCAATTGGTACGAGATGCTACGGTGAGGATGAATTTCGTGAGCGCGGCAAGGGCACCGGCGGCGAGCAGTCGAAAGAAAAAGAAGAACGACGGCGACGGGTGTGACTATATATAGCAGAGAAGGGGGCGTCCAGCGTCGCCAGCTCCCGAACGAGGTCGCCACGGAGACGGCAACGTGTCACCGTGTGAGGAAGCGGTGAAGACGATCGGCGGCAAGCAGCTCGGTGGCGAGCAGGAGGTGGCGCCCGGCTCCATTTGATTTTTTTTTTGAAATATTTACAGAATTGCCACTGAGTTCATTTTACAAATTACTCACAAATTTTCTACAGAAGTTGAAAATCTCCAAAAATAAAAGTTGCTCAACATTTCAAACTCTACAACTTTGCTTAAATGAACATTTTCAAATTCTGGCTCCATTTTGAAATTTGAATTTGGGGTGCATTTAAGCATTTGAATCATTTCAAAATTACTCCAAATTTTATATGTAAACTTTAAAAACTTTGAATACCAAAGTTGATCCTTATAAAATAAGATTCAACTTTGCTTTTTGTCGTACCGCCAAATTCCAAATGGATTTTGAAATAGACAAAAGGGGCAAAAAGGACTTTTATGATTTAAATTTGAATTCACATTTAATTTGTTTACCTTTTTACTTAACTATGATTTTTGACCATTTACATGGCCCATTAGGGTTATTTGAGTCAATTGACACATGGTCTCACATGATCACATGAAATTTGACCCTTGTGGTCATGATCTTTATTTAGAGTTTTGGATCACATTACATCACATAAAATAACAACTTATGAAATAAAGCTTATTTAGTGAATGCATTCAAAATTTTCTACTTTATGAATGCTTTGCAATGTATATGATGACATGTCAAGTTTTAGTGCTAGGTCAAAACACTAGAGATGTTACAATGATCCTCACCCCATTGATTGACATTGATAATCTTAACCTATCTAAAATTGAACCTTTGTGGTCATTGATGACAAAGGAGGAAAATAGTGCACAAAGATAGTGAACAGATGATAAAGGAGAGAACTTTGACATATAGGGAAAATATGATAGTAAGGGGATCAATTAAAATTTGAGCACACAAGTAGGGAGAGCAAGCTCATAAACTTGATTGATGCATTTGAATGTGCATTTCATATGTTTGCTTACATGGTACAAGTTTTAAATTAAGATTTCATGCTTGTGTGGTGTATGCTAGTTGTAGGTTTGAATGATGAAATAAAAAACTAGCATGCATAGTTTGAGTAACTAGACTTGTGTTCATTTTGTGTAAATTAGACTCTTGCTTCTAATGTTGATCTCACTAGGTATTCTAGTTTTTGTGAATGTCTAGTTACTAATGGTGCTAAGGATGGTATTTTTGGTGCACTCTAATTGGTATCATGCTTTAAAGGTCCATCTCTTATACCTTAGTATCATTTGGTAGACATTACTCTCCCACAACTCAAATTCATGCATATGTGTAAGCTTCAATCCAAACTCTTAGCACATATGTAGGGGGCTAATGCTACCATTTGGGGTTCATAAAACTTGTCCATATCCTTTTATGGTAAATATGCTTGGGCAAGCAAAATGGATTCAAATGAATTTCAATTCATATCTTTATGAAAGGGTTGTCATCAATTCACCTCCTCAACCAAACTTAAGCGTAGGAACGAGACCATCTAATTCTTCTAATCTCTGTTGTTGTCGTCGATGACATCCAAAACCTACCAAATATCTTTTAGTATGATTTGTACTGGCCACTGGCTCCCACCCTATGCTTTGTGTTTGCTTTGTGGTAAGTGGAATGCAAGGGTAGAGCAAAAGGCCTATATATGGCTGTAGGTTTCCTATGTAAGTTCATCAATATTTTATAATAGTTCATCAAGTTTTATCTCATCCACACGTTCACCCATCCCATCACACACATCTCATCACACTCTCACTCTCTAGGCGGCAAGGATGACTCTCTCTTGTGCCTTGCCTCAACGGCCAAAGTCGGAAACCAACACCAAACCTAGGGGGAGAAGAAGAAAGGACACCTCTCACTAATCAAGGGAAGCGTGGGTCATAGGAATGTCCATATCCGAGGACTCGGCTATATGTATAGATCGATCAACACTTCAGAGCGTGTACACCTAGAACCACAAGATCACCATCATCGGTGGTGCCCCTCGTAGGCTGATACCGACTGCCTCCCAACCGGTATGGTGCCACCCTACCACTCAGCCCTAGGCCACCCCGGAGTCCACCGACACACTGAGACTGTGAGACATAGTACTGGGCCCCCAAAGGTCACAACGCTGTCTTAGGATGGTGTGGGCCATACGCCCGTACCTCCTTGCACTATCCACTTCCAACCTAGCAGTAATGACACCATCCTAGTTGGTCGGGTAACCGTCCCCCGCCCATTCAGAGAGCGAGTGGTGTGTACGTAGGGTCCTATGATCCGTTTCTCTCGACATACCAGTCCTTAGGAGGACCAGACAGGACATCTTCTCAAAGGGGATAACCATCACCCCGTGCCTCGATGGCACCTCCATCCCGAAGAGTCGCCTCCTAGAATATACTCCTCACACATGTACCCACCATAGGTACCTCTCGTAGGGAATGCCCAAGTCGCATCCCCCTGGCAAGACTCGTCTAAAGACTCGTCGTAGAAACCTGTCCTGTCGACTCAACCCTCACCACACACCCAAGACACACGCCAAGATCTCCCCAAGTTATCACCAGTTTTAGTGGCACCATGTGCCTTAGCCACTCACAAACAATCCTCCACCAAACATCATATGACAAATATAATACGTAGTAGAAGTAAGCAGTAAGTAGTAAGCGAGCGTCTAGCCTAATAGCGGGTGTGCAGGGGTAAAGGTTGCGTCAAGATAATGGCTTCAAGCAATTCTACCATGTAACCTATCACAGTTCATTTGCATGAAAGTAAAGCACTAGCAGCTACATTATTGCATGTCTAATAGGATTCTACGAGGTTGGGTGGAATGTGGCACCTGTTGATTGGTTATCTCCGAGGTCCTCAGTGTACTCGTAGCCGTCCTCCTTCAAAGTCTTGTTGTCGTCTACGTCTCCTCCCTCCAATGGATTCCGGTTCGATCAACGTCGTCCCCGATGCAACTACCTCGCTCGTACGACAAACAAAGCAAGGAGCAATCAACCCCTAACCAAGAAAGACCGCAAATAAAGAGGCAACAAAGCACGGGAAGAGCGAATAAACACCAAAAGAACACTGAAGGAAAATGGCTTAGCCCTCGCGTGGGAAGTCCGAGCCTTGGGCTAGAGAGAAACAGAAGTGGTTGTCTGATAAGTACAAGCTCGAGTCACAGCCTAGCAAGTACTTCCCGGGCCGAGGATTTCTTGGTATTCATTGTGATTGATTGGCTCATACCTTAACACGTCGGTATAATCATCACCATCCTCTCTTGTGCATTTACATTTCTAGTGCGTAAGCAAAGCTCTTTAGTGTAACTAGTTTTAAGAACTAGTTTGCGTCGATTCTAGTGGTTAGTGAGGCTCTTTAGTTAGTCTTTGAGAGCTCACTAACTTAGTGCAGTGACATAGCCATTGTGTGGACAGGGACTATAGATACTAAAATTGTGATAGGTGGCTTACATTTTTAGTAGGCTAGTGCAACATTTGTTTCGCCTCATATTTGTCTTAACCACTTTGCTTAGTGTTGATGTAGAATTTTTTATAGATTATTCACCTCCCTCTAGCCATTAAGATCCTTCACCCGTCGACAACGAGACGTCTGTGGTAACTTCGTTGTTCTTGAGAATTTGCCGGGTCCGCAAGTGTCGTCGCATCAGAGTCACGCCGTCATGTAAGCGAAAAAAAATCTAGTATGGTGGGGCAGCCGTGAACACCTGCAACGGATTTACAACATGTGTCCATGTGCAGTAGATCAATACATAAAATTGCTGTATAAATTCACAAGTAATTGGGAAGAAAAAAAACTATAGCTCTTTTATACATGCATGTGATGATTGCATAGACACTGTACCATCAATCCGCAACAGGTGTCTATGATTTGCTTGTTGCTTCATGGACAGTCACTACTGATTCTTTTTCCTGTGGCAACGGCAGTCCGATGAGCACACAGACGCTCGAGAGTTGAGACGCGACGCACTGAAACCGATATTGCCTAGCCATCGATCATCATATTCGACGGCCACGAGTGCCAAGCTGCGCCGGCACATGGCACGAGGTTCATTGTTGTTGGCGTTGGCGCCCCCATTTCGTCCGGGCACTCCTGGCCTCACCGCGTGGAAAACCTGCAGACGACTGACCACGGAGCCGACCGACGTCCGACAAGATGGACCTGGACCTGCCGCGCGCGCCGGTCCTCCTCCGAGTCCGTCCTCGCCGTCTCCACTCTCCACCCACCCAACACCCATCATTCCGTCAAACGCCGCCCCCGCTGCCCAGCCTGTTGTTGGTCCTGATCCAGCACCTGCAGGCTGCACCCCATCGTGCGTGGGCGTGGAGCCGGCGGCAGCCCGGTAGTACAGCGTGCGCGCGGCATTTGCCACCGAGTCCACACCAGCCGAACAACTCAGCGCGCCTGTACAAGCAAATGGGCAAATGGCGAATTTGCAACGGCGCACGCACGACGGCACCAAACACCACATCTCGAAACCATCGCGCCGCACGGTGTACCAGCAGTCAGTTCGCACAGCAAAACCCCCCACACGCCCGCCCCGCCCGGCGTGGCGGCTGGCGTCCCCAATCCCCATCCCACTCGTCGCCCATCTGCCGTGACGTCTCCCCCTTCTCCATCGCCCTTCTTCTATTACTCGCAGGCCGCAGGCCCCCCGCACCTTCCCCCTCGCTTCGCGGGTACGCAGAGTCGCAGACGCACCTCGCTCGCAACTTGTTTGTTGGACTCAAAGGGGCAATAGGCAGCAGGGGAGAACATAACTGAGCGAGGAGATTCCCAGGGATCTCGTCGGCAGGTAGAGGAAGGGGCGATGGCGGGGGACGCTGGCGGCGGCGGGGTGGACTGGGAGAGCCTGGTGGAGGCCACCTCCGGGGCAATCGGCTCGCTCGTCAGCACCACCGTGCTCTACCCGCTCGACACCTGCAAGACCAAGTTCCAGGCCGAGCTCCAGACGCAACAGGGCGCGCAGAAGTATAGGTACTGCTGCTGATTCATCCCTTCCTTATCGCTCTTCTCTGGTCGCCTGATCCGTACGACGGGGCTCGTGTGCCTGGCTCGTCGGAAGTTGGTGCCTGCCTCTCTGTCTCCCTCTCTCGAGAGAGAGTCGGTCCGTGAGGATTTGGATCTGACTCTGCAGAGGATGATAGAGGTTTCCTGATATTTTTTTCCTCTCACGATCGTGCTTTGCAATTTGGGCTTTTGTATTATTAAGAGAGATTTCCTGAACTGTGCAGTGCGCGATGAGAGTGATTGGGACGGCTTGAAAGAGTCTTGCTTCAGTCAGGACTTTTGACATTAGTTGGTCCCAAATTCTCTGCGATTGCGATCGAATCGAACCGTCTGCCCATGGGGTCACAATTCATGCGTGCTTATCTAGCCTTCCTGTGTCGGAGTCGTTGTAACCTTTAGAACTAGTGATAGACTGAATTGCTTACGTGAGATGGGCACGTGAATGAGTCCCTTACTCTATTAGGTTCACGATAAATTCGTTTCTCCTGGGATCCAGGGATTGGCAATATGGTCAGCAATTATCATAACCAGGCTAACAGGGGTTCACAATAAATTCGTTTCTCCTGGGATCCAGGGATTGACAATATGGTCAGCAATTATCATAACCAGGCTAACAGGGAAAGAATTTTGCGTTTAACGCCTAATCACCTTTGGTGAGAAAAGCTAAATATGGTTAGCAACTATCATAACCAAGCTAGCTGGGAAAGAATTATATGGCCAATCGCCTAGACAACTATGGTGTGAAAAGCTAAGCTGAAACAGTACATTGTCTTAGAGCGGTCATCCTTTGACCATAACGTTTTGATATGTTGAGATTAATTGACTTCAATTTTAAGAGCTTTTTTTGGAGTTTATGACCAAGCATTTTTTTTCCTTGTGGTTCATGTATTTCTTACTTGGCCTTCTGCCGTTGATGCTAGCGAAAGGGTTCATAGCCTACTGGTTGTGACGCCTGGGTTCGACTCTCCCTAGGAGTGAATGACAGGGCTGGTTAACAACCTCCCTTGTTGACAACCCATAAATAGTGGCAGGGCGCTGGTCTATGATAACGGTGGCAATCGGCCTGTATGAGCTGTGCGGTCCTACCTGGTTAGGTAGGCGCTGAACCAGGTGGCTGTGGCTGCCGGCCTAGGTTATCGCATGGCCCTATAGGGTCTGCACTGTCAGGGTTCGGGGGGTTTCTTGGTTGGTTGAAGAGTGAGATTTCTTCTTCCGAACAATACTGTAAGGCTGGTATTTCCCCTCCATCCGGGTTTTGTTGTTCATGCTGTTCCTGTATGTTACATACTTATATCTCCAGCATCTATCTTGTGCATGTCTAGTTACTCCACACAAACTAAGTGGCTTCAAATGTTTTTTCAGGAACCTTTCAGATGTCTTTTGGGAAGCGATTCGTAAAAGGCAATTTTTGTCTCTATATCAGGGCCTTAACACGAAGAACATTCAGTCTTTTGTTTCCTCGTTTTTTTATTTTTATGGGTATAGCTATTTTAAAAGACTCTACTTGGAGAAGAGTGGAGCAAAGTCTATTGGAACAACAGCCAACTTGTTAGTTGCAGCTGCTGCTGGTGCTTGCACCGTTATCGTGACACAGGTAAGTAATGCTATAGGTTTGCTGAAAAAATGCTATGGGTTTGCTGAAGATTAATCTTGGCTCCCTGATCTTATTTGTGCTTCTTTCCTACCAGCCATTAGATACAGCAGCTTCTAGGATGCAGACAAGTGCCTTTGGAAAGTCTAAAGGTCTGAGGGAAACTCTTTCAGAAGGTACTTGGATGGAAGCATTCGATGGCTTGGGCATTTCCATTATATTGACTTGCAATCCTTCTATTCAGGTATTAAACTTGGCGAGGTTCTTGTACAATGAATGTTGTATAGGACTTCAAATTGATAATATGAGCTATGGTGTCCAACTGTGTCAAATTTTTGTTTTTAAACAATTAAACATAGATACTGAAGATTGTGTTGAAGGGATATTATACTCCGAACAGACTCTGAAGGTCCTCAGTTTTATTGTCTGACTTTTTTCGCATTACAAACAAACACAGGCAAGGGAAAAAATCTTGGGACTATTGATTCGGGCACGTATATACTCTGCTTCTGCAATATTATCATAAATTATCAAATGTGATGATAGGAATATGGCTATCCTGAATTCCATAAAGAAAAACGGGAGAACCTCTTGAACTACAAGAGGGAAAACCCAGAACTTAATTTGCTAAGGAAGCAGTAATGGGAGCACTTAGACATCTTCTACTGTCAAGATTTTTCACTAATAAAAATATGTACACCAAGATCTTGGTTCTGGAAAATGTTGTGCAAAATTATTGCAATTTTTGTTGCCTTCCCTTTCAGTCATCAAAACAACTGTGCATAAATGTTCTACTTCTATAACAGTGCTTCCTTCAAACCGTTTTCCAGTATCATCAACTTTGCATGTATTTTGCCTTTACTTATTTGAAGTGAGAAGTAAAAAAAAGGTGCATGTCTAATCAAAGATCACCTTTACAGCATAACTGTTTGTTCTAAACTATATTTTGTAACTTATACAAGGAGACAAAACTGAAATACTCCCACCATTCCAAAGTGTAGGCTGTTTTTGTTTTGTACGAAGTCAAAGTTTCCTAATTTTGACCCAAGATTATAGAAAATACACCAATATCTATAACCTCAAATTAGTTTTTATAAATTCACCATGAAATATATCTCGATCGTGCATTTATTTGGTATTGTAGATGTTAGTTATGTGGTTCAAGAATGCATGCTGACAAACATTAAAAAGTTTCGAGATTTGTCATGTGAAAACAATTTCCGAACGCACAAGAAAGGTGTGTCATTTGATGAAAGGAGAAGACTAGATTACAACACCATTATTTTCTTTGCTGGAATGGCCAGGAGAGCTGCATGTCATTTCAGTAAATAATGCTAGTAGAATTAATATGAAAAGTTTTTTCAGACATTTAGATTTTTAGTGTATTTTACTGACATATTTGTAGAAGAAGTAGCAGTCAGATTAGATTGTAATGATGGCCAACGAAGTAAATAAAAGGAGAAAGGGTCAAGTGATTGTTTCATGATTGTCCGTATCTGTCTTCTGCAGTACACCGTATTTGATCAGCTCAAGCAAAGGATAATTCAGAGGCAGCGACGCAAAAATGCAGGATCAGCAGAGGATAATTCCCGAGTTGCTCTTTCTGCTTTCTCAGCTTTTCTGCTTGGTGCTGTCTCCAAAAGTATTGCTACAGTATTAACTTATCCATTAATCAGGTTTGCAAACTTTTGCTTGACAACATAAGTGCATCTGGGCCTCACCACCTGCTTCTGCTTGTTAATGCTGTCTAATGATTTGTCTCTTACTACAAAAAATTGTCAAACAGGTGCAAGGTGATGATTCAGGCTGCAGATCCAGATGAAGATGATGACAATGAATCTGAAAGGCCAAGCAAATCAAGAGCACCAAAAACAATGCTAGGTGCCTTGCATGCTATCTGGACCAAGGAAGGCATTCCAGGCTTCTTCAAAGGCCTGAATGCTCAGATCCTTAAAACAGTTTTGAGCTCCGCCTTGCTGCTGATGATAAAGGAGAAGATCTCGAAGTTCACTTGGGTCTCACTGCTTGCCATGCGGCGGTATCTCTTCGTTTCTCAGAAGAGGATAAAGAGTGTAACTGTATGAATACGATAGATCCAAAAGCACACATAGTGACATGGTGCTTCGAAAGAGGTTATGCCAAGGAATAAATCTGAGGAATAATGGGCAGAATTACTGAACCAAAAAAAAGAGTGATGTGTATGTGGGATCGATAGCATCAGAGGGCTCTTCAATAAGTTTGTTCATTCCTTCTTTTTTCTCTCTGAATCTCTGATAGCTAGTGACATAGGTGTTGTACGGACCTGAAACTGGAGTGTATTTTTGGCGTTTGTTGTCTGTAATGTGTAAAATAGCAGACGTGTTAATATTCCCTTCTCTTAAAAGAAAATGAATTGATTCGCAGTGTGATGTAAGATGTGTTGTCGATCGTTCCCCTTTTGCATTTGATGGTGACTCTCAGACGCATGAATCAGTTCGGTATGGCTTTCCCAACGGCTTCAGCCTGCAGGAGCCGTAACAAATGGCAGTGTAGGAAACAGTTTTAGCAACGAAGCTTTAAAGGAGCTGGAACCATTTTATATTAGGGGAGAAGACATGATTGGTAACTTATGTTCATCCATTTGAGTGTATGACATCTTTTTTGTTGGATCTGAGATTTGATTTAGCAACATATGCAATGCCAGTATGCCTTAAAGTTTCCCTATCCATAAAACTCCACATGCATTAGAAGTAGGATAAAGGCATTGTTAAGTTTGCCTCGGTAAAGAATCATACACCACAAAATGAGCGATTTAAGAGAATCATCCTAGGAACTTAATATTTATTTGTAAAGTTTTATAAAAATACAGTATGATGGTTGAACAAAGGATAGGACAAATGGTATTGTACCCACCGTGTACACGCTCCATGAGCTATGGATCAACACGCTAACAAAGATGGATAGCATCGGTGACACGAGGTGGTCACGCCAACCCCCTATGGTTGGCTAACCACCCATGTCCCACCAAACTGCCTCAACTTCCTCAGGTACCTTCCAACCGATGCTAGGGATGCATTTCAGCCATGCATGTGCAAAGTCGGTGAATCTAAAGGTCAGCCGATCCTCTAGAGGTCACCCAACCCCACACGGACTCCAAACGTTGGCTATAAGTACCTCATGCTACCTAGAGCCTATTACCTTAGAAGGATCCACTCTCTTGACACACATTCAGAAGAAGCTCTTCATTTGATCTCTTTAGTCTTTGGTTACTAGGCTAGTTAGTATGGGAGTTAGAGCAAGTGAAGTCAAGCTAGTCTCGGATTCCCAAAGTAGTTTTTGGAAGTTTGGTATAGCTCTTGTATATTCTCTTTTGTATGACTTTGATTATCAATATAAGTATCTTCTCTAGTTACTTGCATGCTTAGTTATATACTACCACTACCTTTGTTGTAGTATCTTGATTGTTTAGTATAGACCATATAGTTGTACAACTTTGTGTGGCTAGAATTAGGTGAAATCGCCTTCGCCCTGGTTCTTTGTTTGTATTGAATGCTCTAGTATGATCTTCATGTGGGATTAGAGTAGTATTCTTTAGCATAAATGTGGTGTTTAGGCTAACGTGTATCTGAGGATATGGCTTACCCCACAGATGATTGTGGTAGTAAACAGGTGGTGATAGCCTTGTCTAACCTTTGTAATCCACCACGTTTGAGCAAGTCACTAAAACAGAGGACTCTTTGCAATAACTGTCCAATAGCATTCTCATCCCTTTTCCGCTGCTGGGTTGGGTCTATGCCCCCATAGTGTTCTTGTGTGTGATCTGGTCCAACAACCATAGTAGTCAAGGAGCATATGGGAACTTTAGCACTCACTCGTTGCCCTCCCAAGCTACCTACATCTTCTTCTATCACACTACTCTTTTATGTATCGTTACCCAAACTAGACTTTGGTATATTGATTGTGATATAATCAAGAACAACTTATTTATCAAACAACTCTTAGCCATCGCTTTCCCTAAGGATATAAATATGATACGCTAGAATACTCCAGGGTGAAGTGCTATAACGATTGTTCTATATGCTTGCAAAATTAACTAGTTAAACATAAGAAACAACTACTTTTCCTAGTGCATCGCTACCTCACGTATCTTCACTTGCAACAGCCACACGTCTCTCTCCCTCATCGTCTAAGCACCTCCCAAGCCGCTTGTGCCATAGCTACCACCTTTGTATGCCCTCGCCGTTGCCATCGTCCACTCTCTCTCTCTCTCTCTCTCTCTCTCTCTCTCTCTCTGGCACACTATTTTCTTAAACAGACGTTTAGCTCATTTGAACACCATGTACATGCCGCACGGTCGTACGCTATCTCCATTTAATCGTTCATTTATCCCGTCTATTGGCCGTTTAGCTTGGATAATGGCTAAATGATAGGTGACCGACTGTTTACAATTTAGCATTTAGGAAAACAATGCTCTAGCAAAATTCAAGATCTTAGATTAGGTGAGCTTCTTTGATCAAATGTACCCCTTCGTACCCCTATTTAATGATTGGAAGGTCGGTACCCTAAACCTTAGGCATCATCTTATGAATTCTTTTTGTGCAATTAACTTGTTAAATTGGTTCAAATTCATGACTTAATGCCCTAGGAGGTGGTCTATGTGGTATTTGAATTTGAGTTTGAACCTAATTCCTTAAGCTTGCACAGCTTAGGGTTTCGTTCGTCTTTTTGGCACATGGTTCCATCAAGTATTGATCCATATCTCTAGAGTTTCATCTTTGTACATCTGTTCAGCTTAGTATATCAAACTCTTATATCAAACTAAGGTTTAGCAAAACCTTAATTGCACATCTAGATAGATTATATTCTTGAATAGGTTTTGATAAATAGAAATTAGAGACCGAGTTTAGAGTAGAAGTTTTTAGAAGCCTACTTCAACACCCTCTCTTAGACGTCATGTTCCCTTCACACAGAACTTAGCATTGAGTTCCTCTGCGTGCTGCACGTGCTAGGTATTTGGCGCATCTTAGCGTCAACAAACTGCAGATAGTACACTAGTCTCATGTTCCTTTCCAACACGCAATATAACCCATTTTCTATTGGATGTACTAGATATGTGTTTTGAGACACTGCAGATACTAATTACCAACAAAGTACATGTGTGAGTTTTACTGCTTTGAAAACGACAAGTATGCCAAATTCAATTTAATGTTGATTTTCTTGGGGGCAATATTTCTGCAATTATATGAATGTTTACTTCTTTATTTGGACCAAAAAAATTCATGTTCTCACATAACATGTTGAGAAGAAAAATTGGCCTAAAGCTACTCTCTCTATTCTAAAATTGAAGCCCTAAGTCAAACCATTCTAAGTTTGTCCAAGTTTTAAGAAAAGAATAATAAAATTCACGATATTAGACAAACTCAATTAGTACATTATGAGATATATTTTCATAATTCACCTCTTTGACGTGTGTAAGGAAAATGGACCCTAGGACCATTTACTTTGGATTTTGGTTTTTGATGATCAACACAACCAAATTAGACTAATGTGTTTGCTAGTGTTTATTTTATAGTTCAATAGGATGCAACGCAGACTTGGATCAACTTTGGAACATGAGGAAAATGATCAACCCTCAAAAGAAGACATTGGAGGAGGTATTGACAACCTACAAATGAAGCAAGGAGTCCAAGACGCGAAGATTTCGAAGCCCAAACAAAACCACGTGAAGAAACGGAAGCGGACGGTGGCTGAGTGGGCACCGCCCTAGGGGTGGCGGTGCCACCAAAGAAGGGCTGCTGCAACTAGAAGAAGAGGGGGGCACCAGACAACACCATGTGCACCGCCCTGGTCACCGCCATGGGGTGGCGGTGCACCGGATAGGGGGTGGCGATGCCACCGCCCTAAAATTCCAGAGAGCAGCGAAGCAGGACTCGGGCACCGCCCTGGTCACCGCCTTCAGGGTGGTGGTGCACCGCCCCGATGAACAGTACCCCAACGGTCGGTTGTCAGTGACCAACGGCTAGCTGACATGGCTAGCACCACCCTGTCCGGTGCCCACGTAGAAAAGTAGAGCTTGGCCCCAATGGCTATATCTTCACTTATGGCCTATATATATGACTCCAACCGGCCATTTGAGTAGCATGGGAGCTGAGGGAAGATAGGAAGGTGTTGCTACACCTCATTTGTGCTCTCCACATGCTTAGAGCTTAAAGATCACTTGGTGATTAGCGTAGGTGCTTTGCGAAGTGCTTAGGTTAGTTAGACCATGCTCATATGCTCTTGCTCTAGGCTTAGGTCTAGTTGCTAGTGAGGTTTGCATACCTCTCATCCAAAGGTGCTTGCGCGCATCGTGCTTGTACTCAGTGGGGCTTGTAGTCTTGCGAGACAACACCAACCGTGCTTGTGGTGTGGCCGCCACCATGTACCAAAGGGAACAAGGCCCACGGCGGTTCGACTGGAAGCTTGATAGTGAAGACGGCAGGGAGCGGTCGGGAGAGGCTTGCTGGAAGGCACACCAGACACCCACTTGCGCGTGGGGAAGACCCGATGCTATCCACGGAGTTACCTGCCTAGGAGCTTGGCCCTTGCGAGGGATTCCTTACGAGGGGCTCCAATGAGGACTAGGGGGAAGCTTGAGCGCTTCTCGATACCTTGGTAAAAATACCAGAGTCATCGATGGGAGTTTGCATCTCTACCTCATCTTTACCTTCCGCATTTACATTGCTACCTTGATTGTGTGCTTTACTTCCCTAGCTTAGTTGATAGGATTAGAACCTAGGTTGCATAACGCTTTTGCGGTAGAGATAGCAACACACCTAGCAAAACCATAGTTATACATTTAGATAGATTACTTTCTTGCATAGGTTTTAACTAGGTGGAATTAGAGGCCTTAGTTAGAAGTAGAATTTTAAGTTGCCTAATTCACCCCCCCCCTCTTAGGCATCACGGTCCCTTACAAGTGGTATCAGAGCCGGTTGGCTCAATTTGGACCTTTGGCTTCACCGTCGTTGAGCTTACGCTATTTAGAGTGGTTGGGATGGATACCTCTAGGCCTCCGCACTTTGACGGCACTAAGTTCCCCTACTATAAAGCTAGAATGGCTTGT